GGGGGAAAGGACGGCGGCTGATGATGTCATAGGTTCATGCGCAAGTGCTCTGGTCGTTTGGAAATGATGGGGAAGGCTTGCTTTTTGTATGGACCGGTGTTGGGCTGCCGGATCGGAAGAGGAGCTGAGGCTTCCCCGCAGACTGTTACGTCCATCTGTTCAATCCCACCCGTCTCCATCGGATAGTCCATGGGCGGCTGAGGATTGGCCACGCCAGAGGAACCGCCTCGGCCCCAGAAGTCGCCTGGAGAGAACTTGACAGGGCTTTGGAAGAGAAGCAGCAGCCATTAAAAAGGTTTTATCAAAAAAAAAGTGTTTATATCTATACCTATATCTATCTATCTATCTATCTATCTATCTATCTATCTATCTATCTATCTATCTATCTATATCCATCTACCCATCCATCCATCTCTATCCATCCATCATCTATCTATCCATCCACCTATCATCTACCTATCTACTCACTTATCATCCATTTATCTATCTACATCCATCAATCCATTATCTATCTATGTCTACCTACCTATCCACCTATCTACCTAGCATCTATCCATCTATCTATATCCATCCATCTCCCCCCCATCTCCCCCTCCTCATCTTGTGCAACTCCCAGAATTCCTCAGCCAGCCATGCTGGATGGAGAATTCTGGGAGTTGAGGTCCACAAGTCCTCAAGTTGCCACGGTCGGAGACTCCTGCGCTAAGCCAAGCATTTTAGAGGCAAAAGGTCAAACCATTTTGTACATAAGATCAATAGCTGCATTTACATTGCAACTTAAAGCCAAAATATGCCGAGTATCTGTTTAACTTAATGGCGAGGCCAATGATGCAGAGATTCTGCGTTTACATGCACCCATTTTCCAACCTGGAGATCCCCGCAGGGGCGTCAACTACCAAGAAGGCCTTTTCACCCTCTACTGACTTACTGTCATTTTATGGCACCGACAGGATTGTATGGAATCGTGTTTGCAAATCTTTGGATGAAAAATCAACATTCCCGTGCAACCAAGATTCTCAAGCTTTTATGAAGAGCAGGCACATACTATCACTCACAAAACATCCAGCAATGGGAAGAGACAAATACCTGATGGGGGTCCGAGGGCTGCCAATGAATCTGCGTGGCGACCGGATTTTTGGTTCAAAGGAAAACTTCTCTTTTACGCTTTCAAGTACGGATGGAGCCACATACGTGAAACCCTGCAAGGGGGGGCGGGGGGGGGGAGAGAAACGAGGGTGGCCGGTGACCATCCCCACCAAAAGAAGAACTCAAATGAGGGCAGCACATTGTGACGAAACCAAACAGGCCATGGAAGCACTAACGTATAGGTAGGAGAACCAACGTATAGGTAGGAGCAACCAATATTGCCTAACTCCGGCTGATGATCTCTTTGCCTTAGGACTTCCCTTATAGTCAAGAAACACCACAGAAAAATATATTTAAAAGACCTATATAATGTCCACCACTTATTCATTTGTGAACTAGAACCCAGGTCACTGTCTCTTTTCCAATACGTGCCATTTGGTCTACCCAGCTGCCAAGAGTGTGCCATCCCATTGAACTGTGACTCATTCACATCGCCTGGGAAACAAGAACTTGGATCCTTACTGGTCCTACAGTTAGTCCTTGGTTTGTGACTATTCGTTCAGTGACCACTTGAAATTACATTAGTGCTGAAAAAAAAAATGGACTTGTGATGCCTGATGTTACACCTGTTGCAGAACCTCATGGTCAGGCAATTAAAATTCAGGTGATTGACAGCTGTACTGCAACTCTCCGTTTGCAAATCCCTTGGCGCAACAATCATGACTCTCAGTTGACCGTGGCAACTGGGAGTGCCAAAGTGTAGTCACTAAGCAACGTAGTCATGTGACATTTCATTTTACAACTGGTGTGCCCAATCTGCACCCTAAGGACTGCATGCGGCCCTGAACAGCCAATAATGTGACCCTGCAAGATCTCAAAGGTGCTTTTTTCAAATATTGGGAGGATATCCCGATATTTGCAAGACCAATTAAATAACCAAGGGGCTGAATTCCCACAGGTGCTTTTTTTTCAAGAGGCAACTGGACTTTCTTTGAAGACATTTCACTTCTCATTCAAGAAGCTTCTTCAGCTCTGACTAGAGGGTGGGGAATGGAAAGATTTATGCTCCTTGCAGACAGCTGGTCATTTGCATCCTTTAAGAGAGGCCATTGAGGCCACCTGGAAGTTTGTCTGTGTCCTCGGGGTCACCTGAGTGGTGCAAACGGGTGCAGAGCCTTCTTGGAACGGCTGAAAAGACTGTATTGTGGACTGGAGATAGAGGATGTTGTATCCCACCCCCCCCTCTGTTGAGGGAGGGCTGCTCCATTTTGACCTAGATGGTCTCTTTGAGATCCCTCTTTCAAACCAGCGGTCCTCTCTGTCCAGAATGTGGACTTTGCTGTCCTCAAAAGTGTGGCCTTTGTCTTTTAAATGCAGATGGGACTGCTGAATCTAGTACTGATGGCTTTGTTCTCCTCTATCACAGATAAACCTCCAAGTGGCCTCAACAACTCTCTAAAAGGATGCAAACGACAGGCTGTCTTCAAGAAATATAAATCCCTCCAGTCCCCACCATCCCCGGTCAGAGCTGAAGAAGCTTCTCGGATGAGAAGCGAAACATCTTTCAAGGAAAAACGGAAAGTCCAATTGCCTCTTGAAAAAGCACCTTTAGGATGACGATGACCTAAATGACTGGGAATCTGCATAGACACCCTACAAGATCGTGTGTGCGTGTGTGCGTGTGTGTGTGTGTGTGTGTGTGTGTGTGTATAAAAAAAACAAAGGAAGTTTGTCATTTATATACATGCATTTTATTATGTATTTTATAGGTAGCCCTAAACAATTTCTCTTCACTCAGGGCAGCCAAGGCAAGCCAAAAGATTGGACCTGCCGGCTGCACAACCTCACTGCTTTGCGGTGGAAATTTCAGTCCAAATTGTGGTCGTTTAAGTCAAGGGCTACCTAAGCAAGAACTGAACTGGGGAAGTGGCTTAACAGATTCTGCAGACATTCTTCCATAAATCCAATCCCAGCAGCAAGCCACAGCAAGGAGGAGGGAAATAAAAGAGTGAGGAACTTTAGGTAGGTGAAAAGGTAGGTGGATAATCTCGCTTCCTTCACACACAGAGAACATTTGAGAATTTGAGCCAGAGAGCAAGCAGACCTGGTTGCTTTGGATGTGTCAGGATTCATCCTCAAATATTTCAAAGGTGCTTTTTCCAAAAAAGGTGCTTTTTGCAATTGGACTTTCCTGGTTTTTTTTTCCCCCTTGAAAATGTTTTGCTTCTCATTCAGTTTGAACAAGTAGCTTCTTGGATGAAAAGCAAAACGTTTTCAAGGCGGAAAAACCCCCCAGGAAGGTCCAATTGCCTTTTGGAAAAAGCACCTTTGGGACGACCAGGACGACATTCATCGCCAAACTTACTTACCAAGAAAACTTGGTTGGCACTTTCGCTGAGGGTCGAGTCATCGGGGCTATCAACAGGAGTCTGACGTGTAAATTTTGCATCAAATTGGCTCACGTCTTCTTCGGATTGCTTTGCAAAAAACAAAAGTTGAAGGAAGGGTTGTTGTTTTTTTTTTAAAACAGTTTAACAGATAAGCACAACAGCCTTTAGTGGAAGAAGACAAAGCTTCTGGACGGAGGAAGCGTTCCGTAGATGTACCACCTTGGAAGTCTGCTGGAGTCCTGCCGCCGCCACCGGAGGGTCCCCTTTTTGGACAACTGGGCTGAGAAATGAAGGCAAGGGGAAGGGGAAAGGGAGTCAACGGATCAAAGAAAAGGAGGAGTGAGAAGAGATGCCTTCAAGGCCAAGACATCAAGGAGACCTCCCCTCCCAAGCACCACAGTTAGTTGGGACTCCAGAGCTCTAGGAAGTCTGAGTTACTGCAACTATTCGACAAAATACAGGTAGTCCTTGACTTACGACAATTGAGCCCAAAATTTCTGTTGCTGAGTGACAGTTGTTAAGCGTTTGGCCCATTTAATGATCTTTCTTGTCAACTGTGAAGTGAATCACTGCACCTGTTAACTTAGCGGCACGGTCGTTAAAGGAATCTGGTTTCCCCCATTGATTTTGATTGTCAGAAGGTGGCGAAAGGGGATCACATGACCTGCAACTGCAAATGAACCAGTTGCCAAGCGTCTGAATTTTGATCACGTGATCATGGGGATGCTGCAATGGCTATAAGCGTGAAAAACGGTCGTAAGTCTTTTTTTCCCCCAGGGCCGTTTAACTTTAGAACAGTCACTAAACGAATGGTTGTAAGGTGAGGACTACCTTTAATAGCCAGGTGCATCTCTGAGCTCCAATTTATGGAAATGGATCAATGAATTCTCCACTTTGCAACCCAATGGTTTATGGGAAGCCCAGACTTCGGCTAGCTGTGCCAATCTTCTGCCTTCCCCTGAAGTGAAGGAGAGACTTTAAAATTGGGGGGGTTGCATTTCAGCCCGAAATTTAAAACTGAGGAAGAATCAGAAGTGAACTCCCTTGCGGAGGAAGTGGGACGCAGCTGAGTATTGATTCAGACAACTTTGGAAAGACAGGGCCAAAAAACCCATCTGGGTTGGGAATGCCACACGCCCTGATTCCCAAAATTTGGCTTATTTGGCTGGGTTGTGCCTGAAAATCACAAGCACGTATCCAAATTACATACCAATAAGGGTTTAAAAGGTGGCTCCACCTTCCGAGCTAGCAGTTCTTCCCAACTGATGTGTCTGAAGAAGGGATGACCCTGGGGGAAAAAAAACACAGGGGTTATCAGTCAACAACCAATCAAAGATAGCCAAACATGCCAAATGAGAGGTCCTTGATTTTGATCCGAATGCAAACTGAAGCACACTGGTCTACAGCGCTTAGGAACTGGGAGAGACAGAGGGAATAGGAATAGGAACTGGGAGAGACAGAGCATCAAATAAAAACTGGGCAAAGCAACAATCGTTCCCTAAAATGAACTAAGGCTCTGTTTCAACCTCAGCAACCCCTTAGAAGCGAGGACTTCAATTCCCAGAATTCCCCAGCCAGCCATGCTTAAATCTTGAATTACTATACCCCAATGGAAACCGTTTTTTAAAGACATTGTTAAATAAAGCACTTAACAATTCCAATAGACATTTCCATAGATGGTTGCAGTTTCTCATACAAGAGAATTACACTCTCTGTGAAATTGACACAATAGCTGTTATCTACAAGGAATCCAGGTCGGGAAAATTGATTCTTTATACAAATAAATACAAGACCACCCAAATGGCATGGTGTGTGCGCTTAACTGTCCCAAATCACAATTCCTAAAGTTTTTCACAGTTCAAAAGACCAAAAGGGGCACATGAAAACTAACGTCTAACCTCTGGGTGTCCAACTCTGACAACTTTTAAGACTTGTGGACTTCAATTCCCAGAATTCCCCAGCCAGTCCTGGGAACTGAAGTCCGCACATCTGAAAGGGGTTGCCAAGGTTGAGAATGGGCCATGCCCACTTCATCTCCGTGAAGGAAAAACATTGTGATATGTCACGTGACATCAATGTTATGCGGCAAGTTTGACACCCGTGATCTAAGGTGTTGCTTCAAAATTGTTTATTTAGAATTGGTAGGACAGTGATGGTGACACCTATGTGACATGCCATGACATTTTAGTTGACATGCCGGCGCTCACCAACGTATTTGACATTTGTGACCGGATCAGCTGGCATCCTTTCTACCCATTCCCCAGCCATCCTCCTTGTGCAAGGAAAGGCAAGAGAGAAGAACAGACAGCTCAGCAATTTCCCAATTTTTTAAATTTTTGTTATTAGTTTTGAATTGCCAAGCAGGCTGGCTTGACATCTCTCTGAAACTATAACCAAGCCCTTGCTTACATCCAAGACACAACCCCGTTTGAAAATTATTTTACTGGCCGGAAGGGAAGGGAGGACAAATCACAAAATTGCGTACCTGAACTTCTCCAGCGTCTCCAGGACCAGCTCCTAGACGAGAGGCAGCGTTTCTCTTTAGCAGCTGAAGAGAGGGGATAGATGTTTAAAACCAAATGGACTTTCTTTTAGAAAAAGTTACTTGATAGCTGTCAGACCTGCCCCAACCTGGTCCTTTAAGCAAGGAAGACCCTCAATTCAATTGGTTGTGACAGTTATACTTTTCTGAAGGCCAAGTGGATTAGAGCAGTGGCCCCCAACCTTTTTTGTGCCATGGCCCGGTACCGGCATCACAAAATGATCCGCGGCCTGGTACCGGCATCAGCACGCATGACAAGGCAAGGCGAGCCGAGCGACCGGCCAGCCAGCCGTCCCCCGCGTCTCCCCGCCACCTTCAACTCCTCCTTTGTCCCTTTGTCGATGGGCTTCGCTTCGGGACGGTCGCTCGGCTCGCCTGGCCTTGGGTGCTGAAAGAATCCTCGTGCCTTAGTTTCGTTCGAAGCGCCCCCCCACCCCCCGATGAAACTAAGGCGCAAGGATTCCTTCAGGACCCAAACGCTGCTTTCCAACCGGAAAAGCTCACCCGGAAACACTTTCTCGTCAAACAAGATGGCGGCGCTCAGCACACCGGCGGCCCAGTAGGAAATGTTTCACGGACCGGGACCGGTCCGCGGCCCGGTGGTTGGGGACCCCTGGATTAGAGTATAGTAAAGCCAGAACTGAGGTTTGCGCGGCAAAATTTTCCAGTTTACATGTCTCTTGAAATGCATTGGGTGATATGGGAATTACAGTTAAGAGTTCATCCTCTAGTTTCAACTTTCGAGTTTCAAATGTTTTATGAGTTTTTAAATCACCGTTGTTAAGTAAATCATACGGTCATTAAGCCTGGCTTCCCCAATTGACTTTGCTTGCCAGAAGCTGCCTGCGAATGCCGCAAAAGGTGAGCCTACGAAGCCAAGATCCGGCAACTATGGTAAATACATGCCAGTTGCCAAGCACCTGAATTTTGATCATTTGACCGCAGGGATGCTGCAAAAGTGCAATGGTCCTAAGTGTGAGGACCAGGCATAAGTCGCTTTTTTTCAGTGCCGTTATAACTTTGGTTGCTGAATGGATGGATGGAGGTTGAGGATGACCTGTACTGAAACATTGTGAGTAAATGTCCACGTGACTGATTCGCCAACTAATTTCCAGGCTTGTATTTACCAAGATCACCAACTGTATACAAACAGATGCTGGAGACATTTGGTATTTTTAAAAGGCTTAATGAATATTTAGTAGTTATTAATTGGGGAAACACAAGCTTGCAATTCAGATCAAAGAACAATTAGGATGAAATCACTTTTGGTTCACTCTAAACTCAGTCAGTTCTTGACCTGCAACCATTCATTTAGTGACCATTCAAAGTTACAATGGCACTGAAAAAAGTGGGTTATGACCGGTTTCCACACTTATGACTTTTGCAGCATGTCTGTAGTCATGTGATCATCATTTGTAACCTTCCCAGCCAGCTTCCAACAAGCAAAGTCAATGGGAGAAGCCACATTCGCTTAATGACTGCATGATTCACTTAACCACCACGACAAAAAGGCTGTAAAATCGGGCACTACTAATTTGACAGCCATATTGCTTAACAACAGAAAATTTGGGCTCGATTGTGGTCATAAGTCGAGGACTACCTGTAACTGAGCATAGAAGCTACAGGAGAGTAGCAAATTCAAAACACTGCTATTTAATTTATACTTGATCCAACCTCTGGGATTACCCTGTAAGAGCCTCACCTTTTTAAGCAGATCTCTGGCTTCTTGTGTGAGGTAGGGAGGCAAATTGAGTTTACACTTGAGAATCTTGTCAATCGTTTTCTTTCGGTTCTCCCCAGTAAAAGGGGGCTGAAAAAAGAGAGGAGGAAAGAGAAGCTGTGAGAAAAATGCACCACATTATATAATGTCCGCTACCGAAACAAAATTCTGCTTGTGCTTCCTGACTTTTAAGCAGGCCTGTAAAAGCTGACTTCCAAACCTGGCTATTACAAAGTGGGTTTGATCTGCAGCCGGGGCTGTCTTAAGAAACTAAAAGAGTATGGACGAGGATCTCAAAGGGACTTTTATTAATTTTTCGTTGAAGACATTTTGCTTTTCATGCAAGCAGCTTTATTGGTTCTGGGAGGACGGTGGTGGTGAGGAGATGGAAGGCTTAGTTATGCGCATCCTTCCATCTCCCCCACCATCCTCCCAGAACCGATGAAGTTTCTTGGACGAGAAGCAAAATGTCTTCAAGGAAAAAAAAAATCCGGTTCCCTTTTGAAAAAAATGCCTTTGGCACAACCATGACTTGGATGACTGAGAATCTCCCGAGATATGGATGCGCGCGATCACGAGAAATGGCAGTGATGCGATCATACAGTCATAACCGTTATCTTGACTTTTTTGATATGCACATGCTTCGATGCCCTGACTACAATGTCAGCAGTAAGCGCATAAGGAATCAGTACTGCAAACCCAACAGGGATTCAATTTCCAAGCTTGCTGCAGCCTCAAAAGTTTATGTGATCGGGGTGAAACATTCAGCCAGGCCAGTGGAAGGAAATTTCCCTCCCAACAAACATGCTGTGGACATCGGTAAGTATTGTGAATTAGCATAAATGGAACTGCTGTCACTCCAAGAAGCAGAATGAAATACAGGTAGTCCTTGACTTAAAGATTGGTTATTCAACAACCATTCAAAGTTATGATGGTCTTCAAAAACAGTTATTTCTGATCTGTCCTCAAAGTTACAACTGACATACACACACACACATACACACACCTTGTGACATGGTTGCATTTCAGGGTCTCGGAGAACCAGCTCGCATTTATGACTGCTTGGAGCATCCCAAGGTCTGTTTTACAGTTTCTGGCAAAAAAAAACCCTCTGACCATTTGGATGAAAGGGTTCACTAAAGGCCATATGATTTGCTTCACTGATCGCAGTGACTCACTTTATTACCATTGTAAAAATAGTCTTAAAATAGAATTCGATGACATAGCGCCTCGACTTATGACACAACGACTCACAATCGGTATTCCAAGCTCTACTGTGGTTGTAAAGACAAGGACTACCTGTTCACCCATGTTTTCTGAATAAACCAGACTGTAAATGAGATTTCTTTCAAAATCGGGAAATCGAAGCGCCCATGCTTAGCAATAGGCAGATTTAAAAAGAAAAAAACCACGTTGGTAAATTCTTTAAAGGAAGGGAATGTGTTCCAAAACAACAAACAAAACATGCAGCTTGTAAGTGTGCACCTACTGCTCCAGTCAGCATGTCATACATTAGCGCCCCCAAACTCCACCAGTCCACAGCACGGTTGTGCCCACTCCTCATCAGAATTTCAGGGGCCCTAAAAAGACATCAAATGCAAAGAGCAAGGATCAGCACAGCAGAGCATAGCGAACAGGTAGCGATTATAATTAAAGACCCTGCGGACAGCACCAGTTGTGATAGCCATAAATCAGTCACGTATTTCTGGTTACAGCCGCTCACCTGTGGTGAATAACCGTTACTTCTAAGGGGCTAGCTTTGCTAACTTGCTATACGTAACACTCATGTGTCAGCGTCAGCATCTTGTAAAACAGGTGGGGAATGATTGTTAGGAATGTAAGTCACCTAACAGCTATTTGGGTTGGAAATATATAAAGCAGGATAGACATTTTAATACTGTCTCTTTAAGAGAATCCTAAAAGTGTAATTGGGTATGGTTCATCAAACGGCCATAAGATGGAGCCAGAAACCTGGGTTGTTTAGTCTAGTCTTAGTCTCAGAAGAAGTCTCAGTAAGTCTCTGTTTCCTTCTGTTGGATTGGATGTAAGTCTGATACTGAACTGTTTTTGATACTGGACTTTATTATTGGATTATCCCTGGACTAAAAACTGTCTGATCTTACCTGTGAATGACTTTGGACTGTGTTTGAACTTTGCTTTAACGTTTCTGGAAGTAAAAACCTACATTTACTGTACAGTGTATCTGCGTGCTGTGTGTGTATTATTCAAACACTACTCTCAAATACGTCTCCCTGTATGCGCTCATTCTCCTAACGGGGAATTACCTCAACAATGATGACCCCTTTATGACTTGCGGACTTCAACTCCCAGAATTCCTGAGCCAGCTGGCTCAGGAATTCTGGGAGTTGAAGTCCACAAGTCATAAAGGGGCCATGGTTCCAACTCACCTCTGATGTAAAGTGTCATGCTGAGCTGGTGACAGTGTGAAAAGTTTAAAAACCAGATGCAAAGGTACAGGATAAGGCGGTACCTGGCTTAACAGTAGTGCCCATGTCTGTGAGGGGGGTTTAGGTGTCCTGATGGAACATCACTTGTTACGAGCCAGCAAGTGTGCTGCAGCTGTCCAAAAATCCAATGCAATCCTAGGCTGCATCGAGTAATATCAAGATCATGAGAAGAGATAGACTGCACTAGTGAGGCCACATTTGAAATACTGTGCCCAGTTCTGGTCAACACAATATAAAAAAGATGTCAAGGCCCCAGAAAGAGTACAAGTCAACTTCAAAATGGGCCACTGCAGCCATTTTTTTATTTCTCGGCTGCCACACAATATTGGAGAGGGTGAGAGGTTTGGAATGCCAGACCAGACAATAACACACAACCATCCCATGGGAACCAAGGTCATCTCCACAGGTGCCCGACATAAGAGGAATGACCAGGTAAGCTGCTAAATAAGCTAACTGGACAATATGACCTGGGACACCCAGGGGGAGGGAATCATGTACTCTTTTAATTATACTGAAACTATGGGAAACAGTTAACAGTTGGTTTTGCTTTTATTCGTGCCAATATGATGTACCCGATAAGGAAGTTCCGAGAAGGATTCCAGTCTCAAGAGTTCTGAATTGGTTGGGTTAGTTAGTTGGAACCATGACATTAAACCAACTCTAACTCTTTTAGCAACAGATGAAAAGGGGTCCGGAGGCTAAATCCTATGATGAATACCTAAGGGAACTAGGTACATCTAGTCCAGAGGTCTCCAAACTTGGCAATTTTAAGACTTGTGGACTTCAACTCCCAGAATTCTCCAGGCTGGAGAATTCTGGGAGTTGAAGTCCACAAGTCTTAAAGTTGCCAAGTTTGGAGACCTCTGGACTAGCCTATCAAAGAAAAGGATTGGGGGCGGGGGGAATGATTGGGCCAGTACTTAAGGGGTTGTCACAGAGAAGAGGAGATTGACTTATTGCCCAAAGCACCTGAGGCAAGAAGCAGTGGGTGGAAGCTTGCTAGAGGAAGATCCAACTTGGAACTAAGGAGGAATTTCCTGACAGTGAGAACAATTGATCAATGGAACAGCTCAGCTTCCGCAACTGTCAGTGCTCCATCACTGGAGGTTTTCAAGAAAAGTTTCCATCTGTCCAGGATGGAATAAGGTCTCTGCTTTGGACAAGGGACTGGACTAGAACAGGGGTGTCAAATTCAAGGCCCTGCAGGCTGGATCTGGCCCACTGGGTGCTTAGATCTGTCCCACGGGGCCACCCTGGAAACAGCGAATGACCAGCCTGCGACCCTCCAGAGCTCCTTTTTTGCTGGCAGAGGGTTGCAGGAGGCCATCACAGCCGAAAATGGAGCTCGCGAGCCCACACAGGCTACCACAGACGCCCCGACATGAGTGACGTAAAGCTGGCCATGCCCCCCCTGGCCCCCCAAGGTCAAACACAACCCTGATGTGGCCCTCAATGAAATCGGACCCCTGGACAAGAAGACCTCCAAGGCCCCTTCCAGCCCTATGATTCTGTGACCTTTATTCAACATGTTCTGCAGCAGAGGTCATCTCAGTGACATCAACTCCTCAGTAAGATTTTTCAAATGAGTAATTTAGAGTCACCAGATAGGCATATGTGGCTATCATGTGACCCGATGTACGTGTTTTCATGCGAAGGATCAGTTTCATAGCATTGCATAATCACCTACCAAATTAAACAGCATCTTGCTTCACAGATGCTGGAAGCCTTGGCCTATGACCCTAACAGTTGTGATGGTCATAAATCAGGTCAATAATTTGAGTTCACTTTATTTTACATTTTTTTACAGCAATACACAAGCAAAGTAGTCATAAAACAAGCCCAGTTTCTAATACGGCAGAGTTTTGCTGAATACTGGAAACCATTTCAGGTTTTTGGCAAAATCATCGTAAAGTGCAGCCACATGATTGTAAGACACTGCAAACCACCATAAATGCAGCTGTATTGCTGAGCATCCAAAAATGGTCCTGTGTGTGTATGGTTGTGTGTGTGTGTGTAAACCAATGGAATTTCTGATCTGAACCCCCTTTTACCAGATAAGCTGTAACTCTGAACATTCATTAAGCTGCCAGTTGTAAGTTGAGGCTCACTTGTACTAAAACGTACTATATCTCTTTCAAATGATAGTGCATGAAAAATACTGACGCTCGTTATGACATTGATGAGATCTCAGTGGTACACGGACAGGGACACTCGTTCTCCAAAATTCAGGATGCCAATCAAGAGACAAGCTTCCAAATCTTAAAAGGTCAGTCGTCCTATCAAAACTAACATCTTCTCAAAAGCATTAAGCAGTGTGACCATAGTAACTAAGAGTGCTAAATCCTATTTCAAGCCCAAGTGACTCTAACCTCTATCTCATAGGGTCAATCGCACAGGAGAAAAATGGAAGTAGTGCACAGATACCCCACCACCTATCTCCCCCACATCTTGCCAGGATAGGGAGCGAAGCCCCAGGTGCCTTGAGAGGCCCGGAATAGGTCAGCCTAGGTCTGTGATAGGCCTCCCCCTCCCAGTGCTCCACTTAAGAAAATCTGCATATTTAGTAAACAATTCACTGGGGAAAGCAGGGATGGGGTTAGGTTTGATACTTCAGTTAATGACAGGTGACCTGCAACCTAAATGGGCAGCCTTCATTACTGTCCTAAGTTGAGACAATATGCTGTCTTGACCTCCTAAATATAAATCCAAATAGCTAAATTTAAAAAAAGGCTCTTGTAGGAACTTAAAAACAAGTCTTTTGAAGAGAAAAAACTACAGATTAAATTGACAAGATTCCTCCTGTTTGCTAAAAAAAAAAATCAGTTCCATCAGCCTTGTTCCTGGATCATTCTGAGTGGAGATTACAGTAATTTAGTCCAACACACCTGAAGGACATTCAATTGAGAGATCTTTTTCTTCTTCTCAAGAAATCCTGAGAGTGAATGAGTGAATGTGTGGATGTGCGTGTGCATGCGCATGCTCTCTCTCCTAATTTAAACTGAAAACATTCATGATTTGCTTTGGCCACTAGGCAGGTTAATCTGAAGGGGAAAAATAAACACTTCTTGAACACCATTTTTCTATCGTTATCAGCTGGACTTACATGTATTCTATTGTTCCACAGAATGTATGTGTGACTGTTCCATCGTGAATGGATTCTTTACACAGTCCAAAATCTGTCAGCTTAACGTGACCTGAAAAGAAAAAAAAATAAAGAAGTGAGAGAAGCACAGAAAGCTAATGTACAGTTAAAATACACTTTTTGACACACAAGCAGTAACACATACAAAAGGCCAACGAGTGGGAAATCAGTTGGCTTTCTAAACCCTGACAGGAGTGTAGCCTAGCAGGTACTTCGAGGACAAATATCCTGCAAAATAGGGGCCCACCCCTGAAAAGATCTGCTACTGACAGGCCGAGCTCTTTCTCTTCTTTCACTTCCTGCTTCTTTTAGGCAGGTAAAATACAGTAGTCCTCGACTTACAACCATAATGAAGTCTGCATATTACGGTGGCAAGTCATGATGCTTGTTAAGCGAGGTACTTTTTACTATTTTTATTGTTTTAATTTTTTTTTAATTTACATTTTTATATAGGTTTTGAATTGTGAGCTGCCCAGAATTATTTGCGGAGATGAGCGACTATAGAAATCAAATTCGAAACAAATCAAATCAAAAACACCCTAATCCTTGTTATGGCTCATTAAATGCCCTAATCCTGGTTCTCCTTATTACAGTTGTTAAATGGTCAATAAGCAAAGCAAGGGTAGCTCAGAGATGGGGAGGACCTGGGAAACCTAGGGGGGAGGAGGGGGTGGAATCAAGCTATGTGGGAAACAGACACAAGGCCTATCGGGACCCAATGGAGAAAGTAGGCCCAAGGCCTGGGGGACCCAGCACTACAGGAGAGTATTGGGGGGGGGGGGGGCAATGCTACAGTCAGGTGTCAGGGTGGACAGTTTGCCAAATGCCCAAATTTTGTTCATGCGATGGCCATAATTTCAGGCAGGGATTCTAAGCCCATTCAGGGCCACTGTAATTTTGAATGCTCAATGGACAAAGAGCATTAAGTTCACGGTTACTATAATGGGAGATGTCAGCATCTCATCTCATGGGTGCCAACCTGAGAAAAGACCATGAAAGCTTTCAGACATCCTGTAGTAAAATCATGCTCCAAATTCACCAGACATCTCCCCAAGGATTCAAAATCGAAGTGTGCATTCAGGCAGTAACCCAGTGTCCATGCAAATGGTGGGACCATTGTCCTTACACCTGAAGTCTCCAACCTTGGCAACTTTAAAAACTTGTGGATTTCAACTCCCAGAATTCCCCATGCTGGCTGGGGAATTCAGGGAGCTGAAGTCCACGAACCTTAAAGTTGCCAAGGTTGGAGACTCCTGCCTTATACCATCTGGAAATGCAGAAAACTGCAATACCAACCAACGTGTTGACTCTCAGGCGGGGAAATCTCTTCCACTGAATCACGCCCAGATTCCAATAATTCTGAACAAGGGTTGAAAAAAAACTAAAACGGGGCTTGGTCACTGTCTTTCTAACCTTGGTGATTCAGCATGATGTTTTCTGGCTTTAAGTCACGGTAGATGATTCCTTTCTGATGCAAGTGTCCCAAAGCCATTGAAATTTCAGCCAAGTAGAAACTGCAATGCAAAAAATCCGATTAGGAAAGGAACCCGGGTGGCTATGTGGCGTGTATGGCTTTGATATGTCAATCAATCTCAATTAGCAACTATATAGATTAAGAAATAAATTTAAAAACAAGAAGAAGCAGTGCAAAATCTCAGATGTGGCACGAGAGAAGACTCAGCTTCCAAGTTTTATAGTTGTTTGTTTGGCTTAGTTTTACTCTCACTCCTTATTCCAGCTCTTAAAGAAGCTGGGTTTTCCCATTCCTGCTTTGAGGGCAATAGACCCAAAGCAAAAACCATAACCATAATTTCAACTGTAATCATAATTTCAGAAGCTACATGGATACATCACAGTCCATACTTCCATTTCAAGCCACAGGTAGTCCTCAACTTACAACCACAATTGGGCCCAGAATTGTGCTAGAGGTGAGGTGTTTTTTTTAAGCAAGTCATTCCCAATTCTATTTTTGGTTGTTACGCGAATCCTGTAGTCATTAAACAAATCCAACTTCCGCCCTTGACTCTGTTTGTGGAAAGTTCGTAAATAAATGCTGGTTGCCAAGCACCCGAATTTGAATCACGTGACCACGGGGAATGCTGTGGTGTGAGGAATGGTCATAGCTCACTTTTTTCAGTGCTGTTGTTAAGTTTGAATGGTCACTAAACAAATGGTTGTAAGTCAAGGACCGCCCTCTGTTGCTTTTAATGCTGCCCTGCTGGCCAATTACAGACGTTTGCAGCCCTTTAGTGCAGAGGTCCCCAAACCCCCAGTACTGGGTTCAAGGCTTGGTAGGAACTGGGGCGCACAAGCGGCGGGTGAGCAAACAAAGCTTCATCTGTGTATGCACAGGATCTAGGTTGTGCAGGAAACTATCCCACCCACCCACCGTCTCCGGAAGACCATTTTTCTTCTGAAATGGGTCCCTGGTGTCAGAAAGGTTGGGGACCGCTGCTTTACTGTAATGTCTGAACAGGGCCTGATTCTCTGCCGCTACTTTTCGGTCTGCCTCAAGGAATACAAACAGAATGGACAAAAAAAAATCCAAAAGCTGCGCAACCCTCCTGCTGCACCCAGGTTTCCCCCTTCCCAAACAAGGGCGATGACACCATTTTTCAACCTCCCATTTGGTGTGGGCAGAAAAAACCCTTTTTGGGGGGGCTCCGCATTTCTAAACGAGGTGGTCATCCACCTTCCCTGAAGATGGTCATTCTTGCCCAGCTTATTAAGCTGCACAGAAGCACAAGTGATGTTCTTCCACCTCTCCCTTAGGATAGGGGTAGAAAGCAGCATCGATATATAAGTAGCCATTTGACTTACGACTGTAATAAGAGACCACGATTATGATCATAAATTGTGATGGTCATTAAGCAGGTCATCATGTGTCCAAGTCCGGTCTTACAACCTTTTTTTGCAGCAGCTTAAGTGAACAGTGCAATCGCTGAGGGATCTCTTTATAGATTACGGGCATTTTCCACCAGAAACTGGAATTAAACACCAGTTTGTGGCAAAAAAAATGGCAGTAATTAGGGCCATGTGTCTCCAAGATGCTTCAGAAAAGCCTTAAATTTGGTCCGTTGCTGAACATCCAAAATATGGTCCTGTGATTACACGGGGTGGGTGGGGTAGCTGTCAGGACTCCAGATAGTAAGTACCATTTTTCTGGCCCATCATAACATTGAATTATTTTTCTGGCCACCAAGCAGCCAGTCGTAAGTCAAGGACTACTTGTCATCCAGACCTTCTTTCCTCCTTCAGTTCAGCTCTTAATGTGATAAGAGGATGGGAGTCATTTTAACTGGCCAATAAAGAGTGCCAGTCAACAGTAGATGCTGTAGATTGTAGCAATGAGGTCGGAGTCATGTGCTCTTTAACAGCCTTTCCTTCTGCTAAGGAGCCAGAGAAATTCATGTGTGGCTTCTGGCCCATGGCCTCAAAACCATATTCCTTCTTTAGAAATGTTTTAACGATTCCAACCTGTTAATTATTGTTAGCAAATGCTGGGACAGCCCAAAGGACAGGCTTCAGCCATATCCGGTTTTTTTTCTCCACAATAAAACCACAAGATCAACATACAGATGGATGTTAAGCCCCTCCTCCCCCCACCAAATTTATTTTTTAGCCCAAAACTGAATGAAGCTGCTGGAATGCAACCTCATGTTTAATTCTAGGTAATATGTGCAGCCTTTACGTATTTGTCAAAATCTGTCCGCATCTGCCTTTAGCAAACTTCTGCACAGAGGTTCGTTTCAACAGGAGCTATTTCAGGCCTACTGTGGCTTCATGATATATTTAGTGGTATTTATATAACCATTTAAATGAAACACAGAATCTTGTACTGTGACATATCATAAGATCAGCCTTCAGGCACACCCAGGCATATTCCATATCCAGTTCCCCAAATTGCCTTCTCTCTTGTAGGCATGGAAAGTGAAAACGCAGCTTAGCAGGAAGCTGTGATTTGCCTCCCCAACCGGCTACATACATTCTTCACTCAGCTCTTGCCTTAAGTCTACCCTGCTGGAGCGGAAGAAAACTTTCCGTCACTTACCAAGCGGTGTCTTCCATAAATATCCCCTCTCGTTCCAACTGCATGAAGAGTTCTCCTCCTGAAACAGAGGTGGGAGAAAAGCCCGGTAAAATTTCGGCTCCGTCACTAGGAACATACTATCCGACAGATGTCACCGGAGAGGAGGGGTGCAGATGGCTGCATCGCAGAAAGCTGGCTGCCCTATTTCCAAGTCCATGGAGCATTCTAGATAACGTGTCCTTGTGTTTAGAGAACTGACCGCACTCGGGTTAGATTCACAAATTGCCTTGTAACTTATTTATTTATTTCTAAAATTTATTGGCCCTCCATCATATCTCAGGGTAACTCTGGCTTACAATCACAAAAGATAAAAACCAGTATCTATTATAAATATTGCAGCATAATTAAATGCCAGAGCCAGGTCTCTAGGTCTTATAGAAGGTCCGGACGGTTGGAGCTGACCTCGCTCTGGAGGGCACGATGTTCCAAAGGGCAGGGACAACAGCAGGGAAGGTCCTTATCCTGCACCTCACCATCCAGAAGACTCGGGCCAACAGGACCTACGATGTGCCTCCTCGGCCAGCGTGGACAGAGAGGACAATCCCAGTGGGATGAGACAGTCCCTCGAGTAGCCTGGGCCCATGCCATGAACAGACACTGGGTCCGCTGGACAGCTACGTACAGTACAGGTAGTCCTCGACTTACGACCACAATCTACTTACGACCACAACATTCCTGTTGTTAAGGGAGACATTTGTTAAGTGAGCTTTGCCTCATGTTATAGCTTTCCTTGCCGCTGTTGTTAAGTTAGCAACCTGGTTGTTCGGCGAATCTGGCTTCCCCCATTGACTTTGCTCATCAGAAGGTCTCAAAACCGGTGACCTTAGGACACAGTGTGAAACCATTGCCAAGTATCTGAATTGTGATCACATGATCGCGGGGATGTTGCAAAGGACTTAACTGTGAAAAATGTCCATAAGTCGCTTTTTTCATTGCCGTTGTAACTTTGAACCACCTGTTGTTAAGTGGAGGACTACCTGTAAGTGTGGCTTCCCCAGAAATGCAACCTTCCTGACAGAGACCACTTCTGAAAGGGGGCGGTTGTCAGGCGTGAAAGTCCAGGTCTATACCTGAAGGTCCAATTAGACTGCTTTACTGCTAATTATGCCTGTGCACAGGAACCCTCTCAACTAAGGGTTAGCACCTTCTTGGAGTTTTTTAAGGGTCAACAGCGTTGAGGGGAGGGGGTGGTTGGACTTAAGCCTGTGCGTGGCTACGTAGGGATTCTGGGCAGATCCCTCATTTGATTACTCCCCCAGGTTCTGCACCGCTCTTCCTCCTACAGCAGTTTGAGAAAAAACTAATACAAAAGATATGCTTCTTTAGAGAAACTTCTTTGAAAAAAAAAATAGTACATTTTAAAAATGTATTTAGTTTACTTTATTGTCATTGCACCTCGTATAATGAAATTAAATGCCACCTTCAGTGTACATTGTAACTATAAAAATAAAACACAAGGACACATCCTTCGCATTCTATACAACTGAACTGAAAACTCCTGATATTGCATTAATATTGCACTTATACAGTAGACTTCAATAGAGTTACTGTCCTGGGATAGAAGCTGTTTTTCAGCCTATTTATCCTTGTTTTTATTGTCCTATACCGCCTGCCAGATGGTAATAGTTCAAAAACAAAGGGTGCCCAGGATGAAATGGATTTTTGAGGATGTTTTGAACTTTCTTAAGGCAGCGGGAGCTATAAAGCTCTTCCAAAGAGGGAAGAGGGCAACCAATGACCCTCTGGGCAATAACGTTGACCCTCTAGAGCGCTGTCCTATCTGCCCCTGTGCAGTTGGCAAATTTTGAACCCAAGTGAACCATCGCCCCCCTTTTCCTTCTCCTGCATATGTTTTAGATTTACAAAAGAAGATACAGGCAGTCCTCGACTTATAACCGGTCACTTAGCGACCACTCAAAGTTATGACGGAGTTTCCCCAGGGTTACTTATGACCCAGATTTGAACTTCCAACAGCCAGGCTCCTCCCAATGTCCCACGACTGCATTTTGGGTGCTTGGCAACCAAACCATATTCACAGCTGTTTGCAGCATGCCGATTTATGTTTTTAAACACCCCCCCCCCCCGAAATCTATAGTTTTCATGCAAAAACATCAATGCAGGCAACTGATTTGCTTAATGACCACCACAAAAGAGGTCAGGAAATTGAGCCCGGTGACATGGTGACCTGCTTAACAACCTGCATGACTTAATAACTGTGATTCCGGGCTCAATTCTGGCTGTTAACTCAAAGACTACGAATATTTTTAAAAATACAGAGGAGTTTTATGAGGGAAATGTAAGCATGCAATGGATCTCACACTGTTGGTGAACTCAAAATCCACATGTTGATTCTCCGCTCACACTTACCGCTGAGATACTCAAGGATGAGGTAGAGTTTTCCACCAGTCTGAAAGGCATAAATCAAGTCGACGATAAATGGATGCTTGACCTCCTCCAAGATATTCCGCTCGGCTTTGGTGTGAGCGGTGTCTTTTGCGTTCCTCACAATCATCGCCTAAAGAAGACAAAACAATCAGCGTTTGTATTCTAAAAATTAGGTAGAGGGAATGGTGGAATCTGGGGGCAAGGTTAAAAGAGGGATCAGCCTAGAATCCCTACGTAGCCACAAGCAAACTAAGTGAAACTTCCTTGAATTTAACCATTAGTTGAGAAGATTCTTGTGCATAGGCTTTTAGCAATCAACCAACTTAACTGGACTTTCACATGTGAACCTGATATTTCCTGACAAAAATATAATGTATCAAAAGCTCTGCAACCAAACAACACAGACACAGAGGGGTAATTAGAGCTGCAGATAAAACAATTGCTATCAACGTGCCTTCTGTCCCTCACTGTGTGTGGGGGGGGGGGGGCACGAAGGGAGCTCAGCCAATCTCATTGTATACATGTTGTACTCTGACAATAAAGATAATAATAACAAGGAAGGGACTGGAGTGTGTGAAGTTGCTGCATATTGTACCAATTGAAGTTTCTGAACGGCCCCAAGTAAAATATGGTTCAGTAGTCTGATAGCAAGGTGATCAAGACATGAGCAGCTGAGTAGAAAAAGGATAAAGCATGCTGCCTGGGGAATTCTGGGAGATGAAGTCCACACATCTTATAGTTGCTAATCTGGACTCCTGTACTTTTAATTTGGATTCTTGATTTGGAGGACTTTAGACATTATAAACCCAAAGAGCCTCTTTGTTATTTGGCTTGGTTTTCACAGCCCACTAACCAGTTATCAAACATTACAATGGCTTCTAATGATGGTCTGGTTCACACATGACAGAAGAGTCAGTTTCTTGCAATTCAATGAACGTTAAACAATCAAACCCATTTGAACCAAGCCCAGTTTGTCCAGACTTTTCTATCTCATTCTTTTTCCTCCCTTTTTTCAAAAGAGATTATAGATCCCAGGAGGACCCATTGTTAAATGTATGTTCAGCTATAATACGTATTCAGAGTCATTTAGGTTTCAACGGACTGGATGATATTTGAGAAGCATAGGCCCAGCTCTAGCTATTCCACTATCATACAAGGAGCAATAATACAACAATAATTGCTTTTTAGCAGCAATGCCTGTTAAAAATATCTGTATAATAAGTGCACCAACTAAGCAAAAGTTCAAGAATTTTAAATACGTAATAACAGATAAAAAACTTTGAAAAGAAGCAAACATTAATTCTCCAGTTACTGCTAATATCTGAAGTAACCAGACAGAAATACAGGGTTAGTTGTAGAAAACCTCTTTATTTCAGTTAGGAAGACATAGTCCTCAATCTATGACCACAATTGAGCCCAAAATTTCTGCTGCTAAGCAAGACAATTATTAAGTGAATTTTGCCCCATTTTATTATCTTTTTTGCCTCAATTGCTAAGAGAATCAGTTTGCTATGTTAGAAACACAGTGGTTAAATGAATCTGGTTTCCCCACTGACTTTGCTTGTCAGAAGATCACAAGAAGGAATCACATGAAACCAGGACACTGAAAACATCATAAATACATGCCAGTTGCCAAATGGGGCAATTCTGATCACATGACCACAGGCACACTGCAATGGATAAGTATGAGAAACTGTTGTAAGTCAGTTTTTCAGTGCCGTTGTAACTTTGAACGGTCACCAAACAAATAGCTGTAAGTTGAGAACTACCTGTGTTTCTTGACAAATTTACATTCTCCTAGCAATGATTTTCTGGAGCCTCAGCAAGATCTTCTTAAGGGAGCTTGGATTCAAGATCTGCAGCAAGCAAAACCTTGTTCTATATTCACCCCACACAAAGTTGTCTATCCTTCTAGAATTGGGTCATCAAAGCCACCTCACCTTTTTCAGCACCTTCATGGCAAAAATTTTGCTCGTGTTTGCCCCCGTGACTTTGCGAACTTGGAAAACCTGCCAACACATTTTAAAAAGAAACAATATTACTTTCCCCACCCACAAAAAACGGTTCAATAGTGACTGCAATATCTGGCATTTTTAACGCTTCCTTTAATCAGTGAGTAACAAGTGATCGGGGTTCACTACCTGAATGAAACCAAGCAAGCCACAGATAGCACAAGCCAGTTTTCCCATAAGCCCTGGTTTGCACCATTCAGCAAGCTGCAAATACAATTGGTCAGAAATAATAAAATATTCAACAGAAACAATTTATAAGTGGCCTTTTAGTAATAAGGCTCAGGGCAACTAATGGCAAATACTGTTTAAAATAAAGAAACTACTAACTTTTGAAAGCCTAATGAAAACAAAAGGGAGGTTAGGATAAGCATACACAGAAGTCATCAATCAAGCACATATTATGAAATCAACAGGCCAAAAGTCACCCTCCTAACCCTGCTCTGAGTTCATCTGTGCTTTTGTTTTTATCTTCTAAGTTACCCAAGGAACCTTTGCCATAAAGCAGTGTATAAACAAGCCAGAAAAAATAGAGGAGATTGCTACAAGGTGCTGGGCCATAAGCTACAGCTGATTTTTAGAAACTGTGTTGGCGCAGCTCAGGCTGGCTGGCTAGGGAATTCTGGGTATTGAAGTCCACGGGTCTTAAAGAGTTGACAAGGTTCAGAAACACTGATCTACACAGTTAAACAGAGAACCTTTCAGGCCCTATTTTGAGATTCTCAGGGTTGAATCTTTGCTTTTCCTGCATGTACAGGCTATGTTTGACTCCTGAGTTATAGTCCCCACCCGGCAAATAAAAATTCCAGTCTTTATGCTCTGATTAAACAACTGAGACAGAAATATGGGACCATTTTGCTCACGGCACCAGGTGGGAACATTCCCTGGTTCCTACTCCCTTATTCCAGAAGATGCCCAAGTTTGACGTTTTATTTATGAAACAAATTTATACAGCCGCCCAACTTACATGTGGTGATTTATATTTGAAACATGAATTTAGTAATATATTAATAAATCAATATTCAGAAGGAAAAGACGTGCTGGGCCCACGGACATAAAGCTGTCAGGAAAAGAGGAGAGATTTTCCACCTTGCTAGAAGGCTCCTTACCTTTCCGTAGCCCCCTTTGCCAAGAACACGGAGCAGCTCAAAGCACTCTGGCCGGATCTTCTCAGGACCTCGGTTTACGCTCGTTTCCGAAATCTCGAATTTCTCACAATGCTCCATGCTCCTAAAAGAGAACCAACAATTTTCATTTTTAAAAATAAGGCTAGCAAGGCAACCCTACTCTGACTGGTAAGATCCAGAAGGGGTCTCTTTGCTGAACTGCCAGCCCTTTGGAACACCCTGTCTCTCTGGGATGAGGTTTACCCCCACCCTCTCGCCCTTCCGCAAGGACCTGAAGACCTGGCTCTGCTGGTTAACCTGGACCCATTAGGGGAGCACCACACTGCAGGTGGCCACTGGAGTAACTAGCTGACCCCCACGCTTCCTGTTTCCCCTTCTCAGTCATCCAGGTCATGGTTGTCTCATTGGTGCTTTTTCAAAAGGCAGATGGACTTTTATAGCTTTTCCTTGAAGATGTTCCACTTCTCATCCAAGAAGAATGTAGACCACATTCTGAACACAGTTTGAAAGAGGGGGTCACAGAGGCCATCTACATTAAGACTGGACAGCCTTCTCTCAACAGAGAGGGAAGGACAGGACACCACCTACTGTATTCCCTCCAAAATAAGACCCAACCAGAAAAGAAGCCCTAGCATGATTTTTCCAGATGCTCGCCATATAAGTATCTCTTATTTACAACACAGTCCCTTCAGCAATCCCAAGAAGGTTCCACACAGGGGTGGGATACAACAGGGGTAACTACTGGTTTACAAGGGTTGGTGATTTATGATGTGCTTCCCTGCAGCATGCAGAAAAGCAGCCTTTGAAACAGCCCTCTGTTCTTGTTGTTTTAACTGCAGCTGCGCCTCGCATGGCAGCTGAAGTTGCAAAATCAGGAAATAAAGGTCAGGTAAGAGCCCGGGTGGGCAGGTGGGCAAAAACATCAGCAGACGTAGAACCGGTTCAATGTCTGCTGCTCTTCAGAGATACCGGTTCTACAGAGGTGGACAGAACCGGTAGAAACTCACCCCTGGTTCCACACCCATTTGCACTGTTTAGATGGCCCTGAGGACACAGACCACCTCTGTGGCCTCAATGGCTCTCAGAGAGTGTGCTAACCACCAGATGACTGCAAGGAACAGAAATCCTTCCATACTCATCATTCAGTCAGAACTGAAGAAGTTCTTTGGGTGAGAAGTGAAATGTCTTCAAGGAAAAAAATAAAGCCCAGTTGCCTTTTGAAAAAGCACCCTTGTTGTATTTGCACTGTTTATTTTTATTGTTTTATTCCTTTGCTATAATTATGTTTACACTTTTTATCATTTTTTCCCCATTTTATGATTTTAAGTCGCTAAAGTAGTTCCATGGCAAGATGGGCAGCAAATAAATTTAGCAAATAGTAAATTTCTTTTAGACCCTTTGACATGTCCTTAGTTTAGCAAGAGAAATATTTTCATCTTCTTTATTGGAACAACTTTTAAAAAGAAATTCCTTTTCCTTGAAGATAAATTAAATGTGATCAAAACTGTTTCAGGATTGGATTTCGTCAATCCCATTGCCATATCTGTGCCCCAGAATGAAAATGCAGCATCTCCAAGAGAGAAGGCTTGTTTTGTTACCACTTCCTCTTTGCACTGAGGATGTTTCTGACCACTGCCAACTGCATCCCCCCATCCCAGACAATTTCAGGACTTACAGGTCATATGGGCCGACTCCTCCATGATCCATACTTTCGCTTAAGTGACCCTAAAATGAAATGGTGAGAGAAAAGCCATTATAACATTGTAAACAAGGATTATTTAGAAAGCGCGGTAAGGTTTGTTTATACATTAACTCGCGTTTTAAAGGCTGATAGCATCACAAGCCTGCAGACTGAATTTACATAATAAGCTTTGTCAGCAGAAAGATATGGCAACCACACTGGAGAGAAGCAGCAAAACCTGGGAACTGGCTGCACAGATTCAGCAGTTTTCAAGCAACTGTCCTGTTACTCAGCTATGTGCAAATCCTACAAATAGTTGGAAAAAGTCTGAGAAAAAATACTATCAACACACTGGAGTGAATATAAATGACAGACCGCATGAAGAATATCAGCTACATAAAATATTTAAATTTAGGTTTGTGCAATTCACCGTTATAGTGAAGTTCTCATACCCATTCCTCCCCAAAATAACTTTTTCTGTATCATAGAAACTGTGATAATCGTGCGTAAATAAAAGTAGTTCTTGACTTAAAATCATTTGTTTAGTGACCAAAGTTACAGTAGCACAGAAAAAAGTGACTTATAACCAGTCCTTGTACTTATGATAGATGCAGCATCCTCATAATCAGGTGATCAAAAATTGGGTGCTTGGCAACTAACATGTACTTATGACAGATGGAATGTCCCAAAGTCATGTGATCACCATTTGTGACCTTCCCAGGCAGCTTCCCACAAGCAAGGTCAATAGGGAGAGCTGGATTTGCTTAACGACACGTGATTCTCTTAACAACTGCAGTGATTCACTTAACTGTGGCAAAATAGTAAAATCAGGGGCGACTCATTTAACGACTGCCTTGCTTAAAAATGGAAATTTTGCTCCCAACTGCAGTTATAAATCAAGGACTACCTGTATAACAAGGAAACTTGGAAAATTAAACAAGGAAGCTTGTTTAATTAATCAATTCCTCAATGCAAGTATATGGGCTAGTCTTTCGGCCATAAATAATACACTGCTTTTTGTTAAAACAGATTAGCACAGTTACTGTTCTGGAAACAGTCCAAAAAAATTGATCCTTTCTGCAATCTGTGAAAACCACATCCCATCATACAGAAAGTGTGAGTAAAATCAATAACATTTATAAACTCATTAGTTTACTCTATAGACAGACTATAGGACTGGGTTCATAATCCACCATAGTCTATATTTAGCAAATAATACAAGCACCATGAAAAGTCAAATTAGGCAACTTTTTCATTAGAGACAAAGAAACCAGGAAAGGGATGCATGCAATACTTTCCCCAACTACATTCTTAAGATTTCATTCAATATAAGAAATATTTCACTTTGGTTCATTCTGTGTGACTACTAGAACCACAACATTCCTGTACATTCCAGCAATTAAACTATTAGCAAGAATGCCAAAATCCAATAATTCCTAAAAAAAAAAAAGAACCACAAATCTGGGAATCTACGTGTGTTAAAAAAAGAGGCAGGATACAGATCTCTCACCTTATCCTAGAGAGAATGTGAGAGTGTTTCCTAGAGGGAAACACTGAAGTTCAGCACAAATATCTGTGCTCCTGGTTTGTATTTACATCTAGATGACTCATATTCACTCAAGGTAGATACTACAATGCCTACATCAATCCTGGATAACTAAGCAACAAATTGTTTAGATCTATAAGATCAAGAGTTAAAAAATCATTCAATCCTGACATGAGCAAGATTATGATGGCCAAGCGTGAAAAATTTTCACTCTGCTAGAAAGAAGTTCCCTGAGGATGGGCTCAAGCATGAATCTGAAAGTTCGGAAGACTAAACCAAGGGTCCCTGTGACCGAGCCTGATTGTATCCTGCAACATTATCTTGGGATACGTATATTTGCCTTCATTCGCGAACATTTTTCGAATGTGAGAAATTCTGCTACAGTGCAGAGAAAAGCCAATTTTATCATTGCTTTTGAGTGCCACTGGTAATAAGCATAAAGCAACCTTTGCAATTAGGCCTTTATCAAGAGCCAACTCTTAAAAGTGTAAGTGCTTAGAGTAGGGGTCCCCAACCCCACTGGCTGCGGCCCACTACCAGGTCATGGCCTGTTTAGAAACAGGCTGCGCAAGTGGCAGGCTGGCACGCACAGCTTGACTTGTGTAAGCGATGAGCTGGCGCACACGTATGTGCGCAGCTCAACTTGCATGAGCAGTGTGCTGGTGGGTATGTCCGTGTGCGAGTGGCAAGTCGGCACTTGTGCAGACTGGTTCCCTTCTCGTCCTCCCTGCTGAGCTGCCAAGGTGTAAAGGTTGGGGACCGCTGGTTTAGAAGTCTTTAATGACATGCTGAACCTACAGTGCCGAAGTCAGCAACTTCCAACCTGCAGACAGCCCCCTCAAATTTCTACAGAGCGTATCAATGAAATTTGTAACAAACTGCAAAACGTCTGAGACAAAGTTCCCCGCTGTGTTTCCGAAGAAAAGGACACATAAGCAGTCTGGATATCATTAAAGTAAAGCACAATTCAAATAATTCTCCCTGCAAACCATAAATAACAACCCATTTACATGACATTAACATGCAATGGCTCTACAACTGCAGTCGTAGCTACCAGAAAATGTTATTTTTTTAAAAAAGTGCAGCTCTCCAAAAGTTGCCTGTCATGCTGTGGTAGTACAATTAAGGAATTGCTAATCTTTGTCCCTTTACAGATAATGTTCTAGCCTCAAACCCTTAAACAAACAACCCAATCAGAAATCTAAGTATATGTAATTAAATATTTGCCTCTAGAGATATTTAGCACAAAAAATGTAAATATCTAGTTTCCTTTCCACAATCTCCTAAAACTAATGATCCTTTTTCAAGCAAAATGTTGAGATTACAGGTAGCCCTCGATTTACAACCATTCATTCAGTGACTGAAGCTACAATGGCACTGTGACTTATGACCGTTCTTCACACTTATGACCACTGAAGCACTTCCGTGATCATGTGATCAAAATCTGGATGCTTGACAACTGGCATGTATTTATGACAGTGGAAGTGTCCTGGAGTCATGTGATCACCTTTTGTAACCTTCTGGCAAGCAAGGTCAATGAGGGAAGCCACTTAACAACCATGTTATTAACTGAACAACTGCAGTGATTCACTTAACAAGAAGTGAATCACTGGGGCAAGAAAGGTTGAAAAACGAAGCAAAACTCACAACTGTCTTGCTTACTTGGCAAAAGAAAATTTGGGCTCAATTGTGGTCATAGGTGGAGGACTACATGTATAAGGGGATACTATACCACTTGCCTGCATTATTCTAAAAAGATAAGTATACATTTTTCCTTGTCCAAAAATACCCTTCAATCTTCCTTTCCATTCCTATCCTTTTCAAATTTCCCCCCATATATTATTGTACCTATCTGTGTCAAAAAAAAAAAAGGCTCTCCAACATCTCCGTTAATAGGCCGGTTTCTGTACAAAGACATATCACAGAAAGACAGTATACAAGTTTAGACCAAAGAAAGCCAATTCGAGTTATGAAGGGCAACATCTTTTTCCATCGTAAGCCACAAAGCTGTGTTGTGTTTTCTGTCAGAAATAAGATCTGTGATGTTCAATGAAGCTGCCTCCTCCAAGGTGAATGCCTAAAGGCAAACAGTCTGTTTGCATAAGTTGCCTCCCCATATGAGTAATACACTACATAAGGAGTAGCTGACCATACCCACTGTGAAGCAACATTACTAAAGCAGCTTCAATAGTCACCAATGGTTCACTTATTCCAGCAGTGTTATTACGGAGAATTTCATTCCAAGGGGAGGTCCTACATTAGGACTTGTAGAGGAAAACAACAAGACTCTCTACCTACTCAAGAGTAAACCTGACTGAAGAGGAAGAGAAGATACTCAAGCTTGGGCTGCCCAAAATTTATTGCAGTCTCAGTTTTCCATGGACAAGAGCCCATTTCATCCCAGTGCAGCAGAGAGAGGTCAACACTCCTGGCAATGATCAACTGACATGCAGGGCTCTGGCCCCACAAGACCATTGGCAATAAATCTGCCAATGTGACACTATTTTTTTAAAAAAGTCACCATGTTTGCTCAGGTTAAAACGGCTGGGCCCTTTTATATGCCACGGTTCTGGGGCATCTCTAAAGAGGGACTGGATAAATTCAAGGAGGAAAAAAGTCCATCAGAAACTATATGGAGGACTTCAGATGTGAAGGAGATAAGCAAGAGGCAGGAGATGCCTTCAGGGACCTTGCTGGGCTCTTCCCTCCAGCATCTCCTGATAAGGCCCTCCTGTAATTAATGTAATTAAGTGAATTAATTAATCTTTTCTTCGAATTAACAGGGCTCTTCTGTTCATTATAAAATCTCCTCTGAGTCACAGTTTAGGACCTTTGGTCTTTGCACTTTGAGAAAAAGTGCAAGAGCAGCAACTAAGATGGTTAAAGGTCCGGAGATGAAAACATATGAAGAACGGCTGCAGGATTTGGGTATGGCCAGTCTAGAGAAAAGAAGGACTGGGGGGACATGATTAACAGTATTCCAGTATTTGGGGGGCTGCCACAAAGAAAAGGGGGGGGTCAATTTATTCTCCAAAGCACCAGAAGAGCAGGAAAAGAAACAAGGGGTGGAAACTATTCAAGGAGAGAAGCAATCTGGAGCTAAGGAGAAACTTCCTAACAGGGAGAACAATTAACCAGTGGAACAGGTTGCCAGAAGTTGTGGGTGCTTCATCACTGGAGGTTTTAAAGAAGAGATTGGACAACCATTTGTCTGAAGTGGTAGTTTTTTTTTCCTGCCTGAGCTGGGGGTTGGACTAGAAGACCTCCAAGGTCCCTTCCAGCTCTATTCTGATTCCTTCAGTACTCCTTGCAGTTGCAGAGGAGCAAGACTACATTGCAATCCAGGCGAGGGGACGAGACGTTTCTTTGGCTCCCCTAACCACCTCCCTGCGAGGTAAGCCGGCTGAAGAGGAAACCAGCCTATATATCTCCCTGGGGTGGGGGGGGGGGAAGAGGAAGGACTTGAACCCGGGTCTCCCCGGAGCCAGACCGACGCCCGAGACCCCGACGGCCACGAATCATCATCTTCAAGTCTCCCGGGACAAGATTTCCTGGTGGTCTCCTGTCCCCGCTTGGTTCTCCGAGGACGGTCAGGGGCTGTCCATCTTCCCCGAGCCGGGCCTCCCTTAAGGTCCCCCTCAGCGGTCCTCGTCCCGTCCTCCAAAGGCAAGGAGCGCCGCGAGGAGCCTCCTCCGTCACAGCGGCGGGAAAAGGGAGACGCGGGACCCGAGGAGTCTCAGCCTCGGCGGGGTGAAGGCGGGCCCAGGCCCTCGTCTCGCTCCCTGAGGCCCGGCCTCCCCACGCCGCCCTCAGCCTGGCCACGCCGCGCTCACCCCTTCCTCCAGCTCCTCGTCCGAGGCCGCCTCTTCGGGCTGGTCGAGGTCGATATCGAAGACGCCCGCCATGGCCCCGGGGACGACGCGTGCGGGACAGCCGCCTTCGCTGCCAAGAGCCGGGAGCGTCCGGGTGAAGACTGAGGGCACCTCATGGGCCCGCGGCACCCACCCATAGCGCCGCCATGACGGCCGTCATAGCCCGGGCTTAAGGCAGGCCCTGCCTCCTCAAGCTCGCCGGCGCCAACGCGCATGTGCCGGAACGGGCGGACTGGCAGGAGCGCGCGGGCGCGCGCCGAGCTCAGCTTTGCCCGCTCAAAAGGCTGCCCGACGTCGCCGTGGCCGTCCTGGAGGACGAGCCGCCTCGGTCTGCGCAAGCGCAATGGGGGGGATAACGTCTAACTCCCCCGCGCGCGCGTGCACGCGCAACACGTGCCGCCTGGACGGCTGTTACTCGTTCCCTGGGACTTGGAAGGCGTCCTCCTTAAAACCAGCGCTGGAATGCGCCGGCGTCCATAGGGCGCATGCGTCAACGTCGCGACTGAGGCAGCCCACCTGCCCTTTCTAGGATAACTTTTTTTCGAGACTGATTTTCCCGCCTCGGCCGACGGGTTGGTTGGGCGCATGCGCGGAATGAGCCGAAAGTGCCGTGGCTGTTTAGGAATACGCAAAGAAGGGAGGCGTGAGAACCGTAGGCGCATGCGCCCTGGGAGGAAGAAGGAAACCGGTAAGCGGAGTTGTATAATTTATATTTTTATATACGATATACATGTAGAACGTGGGCACATATCATATATATATATATATGATATATATGATATACATTTATATGTGTGTGTGTGTATATATATGTAATGTATGTATGTATATGTGCCTAACTATATTAGCTGTTCATAATATAGCTAAGAATTTATGCGCTGTGGTTTTCTAATTAAATTAAATTCTGACGACTGTTTTTGAATTCATGAACATATTTTGCTAATAGCTTGTAATTTATAGACCGCTTCTCTGTAACAATCGGTTCGTTTTTTTCCATCGGTTAAGTAATACATTAAAATTTGTTCTAATTTGACTTAAAAAAATAGTAAAACAAAACATTTGGCTGTTGTCTGTTGTTTGGTAGATATAAAGTTTGGTATATGTCTGACTATAAATTGATTATAAATGTTTATTAAATGTATATGCTAAATTTATAAGCATCTTTGGGCAATTATAATAATATTGTATGTCTGAGTCAAATGCACGCACACACACACATAATACATCATACATATATGTATGTATGTATATATATTTATTACTAGCTCGATACCCGTGCTTCGCTATAAAACTATGTGGTTGGGCTTAGTTTTTGGGGAGGAAAATAAAGGGAAAAAAATCATGCCTCTGCTTACCAGCATCCATCGGTTTTCACCTGGCTAGCGTCCTGTCAGTGTGTGAGAGAAATCAGGGCTGTTTGGAAACTGAAAGAGTATTTGCTGTGTGAGCAAGAAGGAGACAGCAAGGAGCCTGGGCGTGGCTTAGCTCAACTGTTCTGTACTAAAGCTGCTTGATGCTCTGAAACTGAAACTCCTCTCCTCTGCTTGTGTTTTGCATTTGGAACAGATTTCATGTGGGGAGGGGAAGTAGAACTCCTTAGCATCAGAGGGTATTAATAATATATGAAGTACTAATTCTCTGATGGTCATTTCGAAAAATCCTTTCTTAGTGAGCACCTAGAAGCCAAGAGGAACATACGTGCCAAATTTCAAGTTTGTAGGCTTTACGATTCTGGAGATTTTGTGATGATGTGTGAGTGGTATTTCGCTTTTATATATATAGAAGATATAGATATAGATACATGCACGTGTGTGTATATATATGTATACTATATAATTTTAATGAATGGATTCCTATGCAGGTAATCCTTGATTAAAGCTAGATGTGTTTGCCTCATTTTACAACCTTCCTTGCCACTGTTGTTAAGTGAATCACTGCAGTTGTTAAGTGAACAACATAGTTGTTAAGTTAATCTGGCTTCCCCATTGACTTTGCTTGTCAAGAGATTGCAAAAGAGGATCAGATGACCCCTGGATAGTACGACCGCCATAAATTCATGCCAGTTGCCAAGCTTCTGAATTTTCATCCTGTGACCATGGGGATGTTGCAAGTATGAAAAACTATTGTAAGTTACTGTTTTTCAGTGCCAGCTGTAACTTCGAATGGTCACTAAACAAATAGCTGGAAGTTGGGGACTACCTGTAATATAAATGATTTGTCTGTGTTGGTGTGGAATCAAAACATAAGGACCCCAAACAAATAATCAACACTTTACTGTGGCATTTACAGATAGTCCTCAACTTACAAAAGTTTATTTCAAAGTTACAGCATCGTGATAAAAAGTGACTTACGACTTTTTTACAGTTGCGACCAGTAGTGGGATTCAAAAAAATTTTTTTACTACCGGTTCTGTGGTCTGGGTTCTGTGGGCATGGCTTGGTGGGCATGGCGTGGCTTGATGGGCGTGGCAGGGGAAGGATACTGCAAAATCCCCCTTCCCTCCCCACCCCACTAGCCTGCTTTCCAGCTCCATTCTCCTGTGCAGGGCAACAAAAGAAGACCCAACCAATCAGCTGGGACTCAATGGGAGGCGGAGAATAGATGCGGGCGGGGCCAGTCAGAGGTGGGATTGGCCGTTTCTCCAAACTACTCAAAATTTCCACTACCGGTTCTCCAGAACTGGTCAGAACCTGCTGAATACCCACCTCTGGTTACGATCTTTGCAGCATCCCCATGATCTTGTGATCCAAATCCAGGTGCTCGGCAGCTGGTTCATACTTATGACCGTTGCTGTGTTCCGAGGTCATGTGATCCCCTTTTGTGACCATCTCACATGCCAAGTCAATGTTGAAGCCATATTCGCTTAACAACCTGGTCATTAACTTATCAACTGCAGTTATTCACTTAACAACAGTGGCAAGAAAAGTCGTAAAATGGGGCAAAGCTCGCTTAACAAATGCCTCACTTCACAACAGAAATGTTGGGCTCAATTGTGGTCGTAAGTCGAGGACTACCTGTACTCCAAGGTTGCCTTAATTTAGCACGAATTCCTTCTACACTTCTAGTTTGCTAACATGCTCCTCTTAGGAATTTGTTGTCCCCCCCATTGGTCTGTGAATAAATAAGGTTGGTGCTGGCAGACTCCAGGTTTAAGACGTCGATTAAAACTTGGTTTCCTCTTCTTTAGGGAAAGGCGACTAAGAATGTCCATCATAGCCGTTCAACTGGGTCAATGCGGCAACCAGATTGGGCGCGAGGTGTTTGATACCATCTGCACAGACCTCCACAGTTCCCAGGGATTCTGCTCCAAAAAGGAGAATGACTCTTACCAGGCAGCTAGTAAAGAACGTTTCTTTGAGGAAAAAGATGGAGGTAAGAAGGCATCGATGTCACGGCCTCTTGAAAGGTTGTTGGGGCACAGCTCCCCAAGGGAGAATTGAGACTGTGACAAACCAGGCTGCAGAAAAATACAGAACAACTGAGTCCCCTCCACAAGCAGGAGACCCTAAACCCGTGATGGCAAACCTAAGCCACACGTGCCGGAAATGGCACACAGAGAATATCTCTTGGGGCACGCAACCCGTCACCTGTTGCTCTTCCAGGTTCTGGCGTGTTGACCAGCGGGTCTTCACACGCACGGGAGTGCCGGAAACCAGAAGAGCAGCCACCCAATGTGCATGCATGTGCCGGGAAGATGATCTTCTTGTTTCCAGTGCATGCATGCACACTGGCCACCTGGTCTTTTGGTTTCCGGCACACCTGTGCATGTGAAGACCAGCTAGCTGGTGTGTAATGTGCATGCCGGAAACCAGAAGATCGGTGCACACATGCATACCTGCCAGCTGGTCTTTGCACGTGTATGCACACCAGAAACCAAAAGACCAGGTGACTGGTGAGCATGCATGCGCGCACATTCCCGTTTCAGCACTCGCTGCTGAAAAGGTTCACCAACACTGTCCTAAACCATTTCTGACAAGTGGCTGTCCAATTTCTTCTTTAAAACCTTCAGTGTTGGGACCCTTCTGGAGGGAAGTCGTTCCACTGATTAATCGTTCTCATTGTCAGGAAATCCTTGACTAGTCTCTTTTGAAAGCCTCCAGTGATGACGCTCCCACAACTTCCGAAGGCAACGTCTGTTCCATTGGTTGATTGTTCTCACTGTCAGAAAGTTTCTCCTTATTTCTAGGTTGAATCTCTCCTTGATCAGTTTCCATCCATTATTTCTTGCCTGGCCTTCAGGTGCCTTGAGGAAAATGGAATGGAATGGAATGGAATGGAATAGAATAGAATAGGGAAAGGAAAGGAAAGGAAAGGAAAGGAAAGGAAAGGAAAGGAAAGGAAAGGAAAGGATAAAGGAAAGAATAGAATAGAGAAAGGAAAGAATAGAACAGAATAGAGAAAGGAATAGAATAGAATAGAATAGAATAGAATAGAATAGAATAGAATAGAATAGAATAGAATAGAATAGAGAAGGGAAACAATAGAATAGAATAGAATAGAATAGAATAGAATAGAGAAAGGAATAGACTAGACTAGAATAGACTAGAATAGAATAGAATAGAGAAAGGAATAGAATAGAGAAAGGAAAGAATAGAATAGAATAAGTGCAGCAAGAAAGGTCTAAAATGAGGCAAAGCTCACTTAACAACAGAAATTGTGGGCTCAATTGTGGTCATACATTGAGGACTACCCATATTTCCTATTTATCTTGTTTTTTCACTATCGTTTTGTAAAAAAGGAGGTTGTTTTTTCCCCCATTTTTCTCTTTTTCCTGCTTAGGTATGGTTGCTCGGGCTGTTCTGGTCGACATGGAACCGAAAGTGATCAACCAGACTTTATCCTTCGCCTCAAGAACTGGGAATTGGAGATACGGCCCCCGGTCTGCGTTCTGCCAGAAACAAGGATCAGGAAACAATTGGGCACACGGGTATGTGGGATTGCCGTCCGAACTAACAACCCAATCCTGCTGTTTTGCAATTAAGCAAAGATTAATTTAACAACAACAGAATAACATATAATAAACTAGCTGGATACCCATGCTTCGCGACTAAACTTTGTGATCGGGCTATGCAGGAGAAATCCGGCTCACAATCCGTTGGCTCAGCGGTAGTTTGTGACTGAAACACGTAAGGGAATATCGCTCTCGCCGCCTTGAGTCTCGAAGCAGTTCCATAGGTGGAAA